TACCTGGGGGATGACTCTGAAGGCTTGTTGGTGTCAAAACCCTCCTGCCCTTATTGGCTGTGCTGCATCATCGCTTGTTGCCCAAAGGCACTCTGCAAAGATAGCTTACTGTTTAAGTGCGTCATGAACTGGTCAAGCAATGAGTTGCACTTTTTTTTTTTTTTTAATTCTTAAGCTTTGTTTTTTAGAACAGTTTTAGGTTTTTAGAAAATTGAGCAGACAGTACAGAGAGTTCCCATATTCCTTCTCCCACTCACAGTTTCCCATTAGCATCTTACATGAATGTGGTACATTTGTTGTAATGGATGAACCAATGTAAACATATTATTATTATTAATAAAAGTCCATAGTTTACATTACGCTTTACTTGTAGAATTGTATATTCTATAGGTTTTGACAAATGTATAAGGGCATGAATCAATCATTATAGTATCATATGGAACAGTTTCACTGCCCTAAAAATTCGCTGTGCTCTACCTATTCATCTCTCCCTCCCCCAACGCCTGGGGACCTTGGATCTTTTTACTGTCTTGATAGTTTTGCCTTTTTCCAGAATGTCATATTATTGGAATCATACAGTAGGTAGACTTTTCAGATTGGCTTCCTTCACTTAGTAATATGTATTTTATGGTTCTTAGATGTCTTTTCATGGCTTGATAGCTCATTTCTTTTTAGCACTGAATGATATCCCATTGTCTGGATGTACCAGAGTTTATTTATCCATTCCCTTACTGAAAGACATCATGGTTGCTCTCAAGTTTTGGCGATTATAAATAAAACTCCTGTGAATATCCATGTACAGGTTTTTGCGTGGACTTAAGTTTTCAACTCCTTAGGATAAATACCAAGGAGTGTGACTGCTGGATTGTATGGTAAGAGTATGTTTAAGAATGTAAGAAACTGTCAAACTGTCTTCCAAAGTGGCTGCACCGTTCTGCGTTCCCACCAGCAATGAGGGAGAGTTTCTGTTGCTCCACATCCATGCCAGCATTTGGCGTTGTCAGCATTGTGGATTTTGGTCATTCTAATAGGTGTGCAGTGGTATCTTCTTGTTTTAATTTGCAATTTAATGACATATGATGTGCAGCACTTTTTATATGTTAATTTGCCACCGGTTTATCTTCTTTGGTGAGGTGTCTGTTCAGATCTTTTGACCATTTTTTAAATTGAGTTGTTTGGTTTTTTTATTGCTGAGTTACAAGAGTTCTTTGTCTATTTGGATACAAGTCTTTTATCAGGTATGTATTTTATAAATGTTTTCTCCAACTCTGTATTTGTCTTATTCTCCAACATTGTCTTTCACAGGGCAGACATTTTTCATTTTAATGAAGCCCAAGTTATCGGGTTTTTTTCTTTCATGCATCCTGCTTTTGGTGTTGTATCTAAAAGGTTGTTTAAATGTCTGGGACACAAGCCTTGATGAGATCGTGGACTTCAGAAAGCAGCTTGAAAAACCCTCGGACAATATCATGAGTGGTCCTTTTAGCATTTGAAGGTGACTGCTGGCTCTGCGTCAGCCCAAACCATAAGCACGAAATATCTCCAGGCCTTTCCCACTTCTCCATCAGTGCCCTTGTACTGACTGATCATGCTCTCACATCTTTCAGCATGGACGCCACCAGATTGAACTTTGTGAGAAGGAATGATTTAGATTTAGTTTTTGGATTTATCATTGCTCCTTAATCCTTGATGATTTATTACATAAGTGACTTTTCTGAGGCTAGCAAAGGATTTAAGTCTTTCTAACAAAAATATTCAACCAATCTAGTCTGTCTAACACAGAAGCAGAGATAAACAACTCTGATTTATTTTTAAAAGATGATTATATATGTATATATAAATATATATTTATAAATATGTATATTTATATAACCATATATAAATATATGGTTATATATAAATACATATTTATAAATATATACTTATATTTATAAATATATAAATTTATATATATATATATATATATATATATATATATATACACACACACACACACATACTATTTAAAGTTCGTTGACTCTAACATAAGAAACCTTAAATTGGCAATGACATTTGTAAGGAAGAATAAAGCAAAAACAAGTTGTAACTGTTTCTGGAAATGTAAATGATCAACAATTTCCCAGGTACCCTTGTTCAACTACAGACTCAGCTCTTTAATATAAAGCAACTTTGGTAATCACTTACAGGATTTACCTTCTTGACCTCATTCTGCCATGGCTGGCTTGTTTGTAACTATATTATAGAACATCTGACAGTCCATCTTGTGCTAATGTTTTTTAATCTACCTCAATGGGGGGCCCCTTTAAGGCAGAAACCAATGGTTTTCACTACCCAGCCCAAAATCTTCTTTACAGCAAACCTCAATTAGTACTGTTGAGTTAATTTGTTAAATCTTTATCCAGTAACACTTACTGAGTGCTCAAGAGAACTATAGCTTTGAGAAGCCAGATTTATAAAAAGCATATGGGGAAATGAAGAGCATTCAGCAAAACCATCCAAAATTCCTGAAACACTGAACTATAGGAAAAAGAGGAAAAAAGAAAGAACATATTAATGATGTTCAAGTATCTGAAGGAGTTATGTTGAGTAGGATTGGTCTTCATTTCCTCAAAGATTAAGAGAAGAAAGAAATGTAGGTACAATTGTAGAAATAAAGATTCAAGAAGCATGTAAGGAAGACTTTTTTTTTTTTAACTTTAGGATACTTGGAATCTTGGTGGAGGTAAGCAGAGGGCACGGACAGAAGAAACTATGGTTTTCTCTTAAGTGATGCAAAACCAGGTTGACCTAGGTAAGCCCCAGACAGGGGCAACCACATGGTAGCCAGTTTCCCATCCATGTGCCCTTGGGCCAAATTAATGTGCAAGGAACAAGTCATTGATTGCAAGCGAAACTCAAATCAGTGCCTCTTCCTTATCTGTTCAGTGCAAGAGGGTGTTAGGAGCAATGGCAGTGAAAATGTAAAAATACTGCCTAGCCTCTCTTCTGGAAATCAGAGGCAAAGACAAAAATGGCTTTTGGGGTGGTGGTGGGTGGTGGTGGGGGGAGGATCTCTTGCAAATTTGCAGCATCTTAAAATAATAGCTCTTTTATGGAGCCCTTGTTACATGGGGAGGGACAGCCACCTGACAAGGTAAGGAGGAGTCCTGGTGTGAATACCAGGATGAGGAAGTAGCAGTCCTGGAAGGTTACCTACATAACTAGCCCAAAGTCTCTCAGCCAGTGACTGGGAGAGCCAGAGCTCTGGGCCCAGAGCTCTTGACCTCACTATCCTGCCTAATGATCTTTGGACTTGGGACCTGCCTAAACAAATCCCAGGTCAATCCTGCTGACTCCTGGCCGCTCCAAGGCGCTTTCTATGATTGGCTTGAACTCCAATTCCAAGATCTGGATCCACTGTGGCCAGAAGAACCTCTGCGGCTGCTTTCAACCTTGGCTGCACATTGCAATCATGTGGAAAGTTTTACAGAAATGTTGATGCCAGGGTCCCGCCCCTAAAGATTTCGATTTAATTGGTTTTCAGTGCAATTTCAGCACAGAGATTTGTGTTTAACTTTTTATTGAAGTATATTATACATGTAGAAACGTGCACATGCTGTAAGTGTACATTGCAATGAATTTTTACAAACTGAAGGTACCTGTGTAACCACCGCCCAGCTCAAAAATCAGAGTGTCGCAAGCACCCCAGAAACATGCATCAGGAAGACATTTTTCCCTTCTCACCTCTCCTCCTCCCCACCTCCCCCCACCGCCCAAACACTATCCTGACTTCTGACAGCATAGATAGTTTGTGCATAGAGATTTTTTCGAGCTCCCCAAATGATTCTAATGCACAACTACCACCAAGAACGATTGTCTTACTGGTCGAAGGTATGGAAGTAGGATGAACTAAACCAAATGTATAAGGTAACAGGTAAACCAACATGAAAGCAAATAAGAAGAAACCCAAGCTACACTTATCCTCATCCCTGACGGCTGCCTCCCATGTTGCCTGTGCAAATCTTATTTCACATTAGCAAGTCAACAAGGGTGAAAATAAATGTTTTTTCAAACAAGATCTTTCATTTATAAACAACTTACATCTGCATTCACCTTCTTTTTTTTTAAGATTTTTATTGGGGAATTGGGGGATGGGAACAGATAAGTTGCTGTCCTTTTGTTCTTCAGTCTAGTTGTGGAGGACATTGTTTCAGTGGCCCAAGTTGGCACCATCATTGTGCTCTTCCCAGACGAGGCAGATCAGTCGCCGGCTTCTGGACGGCCCTCACTGCAGCTCACATTGGCTGCTGGCTACACATGGTAGCCCATGGCAACCCACTGCAGCAGGGGCTGCAGCCTACGCCATTGCCGGCGATTCACGGCAGCCCAGCTCCAGGTTGAGCTGTTGTTCAGCATCTTAGCTGTAGAGGGCAGCGTCACTGGCCCTCATATGTGGATCTGAACCGGGGTCCTCTGGCGTCCCAAACCAGTTCTTAACCATCGCGCCACTCAGCCGGCCCTGCATTCACCTTCTTAGTGAAACAAAATCTGCCATCTCGAGAGTTGCCAAAATCACATATGCAGATAATAATAAACAGATTTATGGCGTGCTTTCCATGTACCAAGTCCCTTACTAAGTGCTTCACTCAATATCTCATTCGATTCTTACAACACCCAATAACAATAGGATCTCTTATTTCCCCCACTTTACAGATGAGGAAACCTAGGCATAAAGTGATGAAGTAACTTGCCCAAGGGCGCACTGTTTATAACTAGCAAAGCTGAACTTGCAGAGATTCTTCTTGCTGTCTCTCCATGGTGGTTTTTATTTTCAATGTCTATGCCAACTGACTTCTGCTATTAAATATCTGGACAAAGATTAATGCCACGCTGATTTCATTCTTTCAGTGCCCAGTGGAATGAGCTAGGAGGGTAGTAGAGAAGTATCACAGAATTACTTATGTGTGCTGGAATGGACCTTGATGATCATGGAGTTTTGCTTCCTTCTTTTATAAACGAGGAAATCGGCCAAGAAAGAACATTTTGGATGTCTTAACAAGCTAAATGAGAGAAAATGAGAGAAGGCCCCAACCCTGGGGGAGGAACGGCCAGGTAAGGCCTTCATTGGGCAGAATGGGGTTTTGACCTATGTCCTCTAAACCTCAGAGGTACAAGCTCGTGGCCTGTGTTAGTACAACTTGTGGCGAGTGATGCAACTATTATCATTTAACATTCGTAACATATTCACATGTGAATATTGTTATTTGTATAATTATAAAAGTGCCTGTACAGTGAGTCTAATCTAAACCAGATAGAGAACTGATGGTCAGAAAGTTATCTGGAGTGGGAAACTGAATCCCCTCAGGTTTCTCTGAGTTTGTTCAGTTGTTTGGATTTCGTGTCATATGTGATCAGCTTCCTAGCGTATTTATTCTGGCAACGGAGGGGTCGGGTGTGAGAGAAACCTCTTGGAGAAGTTTTCATTGAAAACTTGGTGTTGCCTATATAAGTCTTATTTCTTGATCACTTCCACAGAGTAAAACAAATCTCAGTAAATGGGAGGCTTGTTGCTTTTTTCCATTTTTCTGCTCTAAGATTATTTTGGAGTTTCTTGGTATTGTTCATTTCTTCCCCTGTGTTTAGATATCTCCCCTAACTCTTATCACCGCTGGTGTCTGTCTACTCCTCCAGGTCCCCACATCCTTTCACTTGCTTTGTTCAGTTTTCTGGTCTTTTGGTATGAACTCCCTTCAAGCCAGAGTGTTGGGTCTGTTACTCTCTAATTATTTTTTTCAGAGCAATTTTCCCCAATATAAATTATACCCTCAATTACTTTTCTCTCCCTGGAGCAGTGAATCACATTCTAAGAAGCTGTTAGGGTGGAGGCAGTTGGATACCAAGCTGGGAGGTTTCAGCCAGTGCCGGCTTGTCACCCTCATTCTGTTTACCATGCTGCAGCGGCCAAAGTGCAGCCTTGTGCTAAAGTTACCAGCAATGGAAGGGCCTTCAGTGCCTATTCCTGCTACACCACGTGCTCTGGGTACCTATGTGAAGGAGACACCATATTTTAAAGCACTGGCCTGTGCTTGGAGGCAAGAAGAAAAATTTGCTCAATCTAGGATGGCTTGATATTTGAAAACTGAGTAGATTGCATAAGTGTCCCCAGTCTTCATCCCTCCCTGGATTACTACTCTCTGCCATATGACTTGACAGTTTTTCCGATCCAGAGATGACCCACTGAGAGTGACTGTGATGCCTGCTTCAGCCAATAGGATGTTAGCAGATGTGATATAAGCAGAGGCTTGGAAGCGTGCTTGCACCCCTGGACTTGCTGTCTTGCATCGTTACTATTTCTGTGAGAAGAGCACGCCTGGGCTGGCCCACTGGTCCCAGGATGGGAATGAGAGGTATGTGGGGCAGAGCTGCCCCCAGGAAGCTGCCCCAGCCCCTCCCAGCCTAGAACAGAACCATCCAGCTGACCCAGAGATGCATGAACAAACCCAGCCGAGATTGGCAGGTCTGCCTAGCCAACGTTCACGTGAACTGCTGATGCCAGAGCCCAAGTAGGAAGTGATTGTTGTTTTCAGCTTCTGAATTTTGAGGTGGTTTGCTTCCCAGCAATTGCGATGATGTCAAGCCCTCTGAGACCATTGTGATGATTGTATGAGCAACTAGAAGCAAAAGCACTTCACAAATGTAAAATTGTGGGGCGTGAGCATAAGGGAATGCACTGTTGAACAAGCTCTGGGCCTGGAAACCGAAGACCCGAGCTCAAATCCACTCATGCCCCCAATCACTCTACACACTTGGGCAGGTAATTTACATTTTCTGGGTCTTACCATAAGATTATAGAGCTGGCTTGCAGACTCAAAATCATGAGCGCTTGAGAGGATGTTGGAACATTAATATGGGCCCTAGAACTTCATTGGTAGAGAGTTAAGAATGAGATGGGGCCAGTGGGAGGGAGGTCAGAGGATATTTTATAAATAAATAAAATGGGATGCCCATTAAAGGGACAGGTACATGGAGTACAGGTACAAGGATGATTTTGAAGAACATGTTTGATCTAGGGCTGAGAGGTAGACCTGGAGGCGAGATATAAAATAAAGTCTCCTTTCTTCAGAGACCTGAAAGTGTGGGCTACATGAATGAGTGAGGTAGGAGAAAAACCTCCACCATGGCTTACAGAAGGCACCTTTCTGACATCTCTTCACTTGGAATAAAGCAAAGCTGGGGACAATTATGAAGTCTTTGGTCACATGGAGAGATAATAGTCCAGACTGGCAGTTCGATACACCTGTAAGAGCTCTCCCTTAGCTACCTTTAACTTTTCTAGGTTGTGTATTACCTGACCTTGGACAAGTCACCTACCCTATGGGCAAGTGGATGCAGTATGGTTCATTCATTCATTGTGTATTGATTACATGCTCCATTCCAGGAACTACTCTCTGGACACTGGGGATGAAACAGTATTCAGACATGGCTCCTGAGCTGGCTACCATCTCAGGTAGATGGATGTTTCCTACATTATCATTCATGTCAAAATATATACTACTGGATACTTTTTCAAGGAGAAAATTATATCTCAGGGAGTGTTAAGTGGCTTGTCCACAAAGCCACACAGCTTGAAAGAGAAAGATGAAAAATTATGCCTTTTGACCCTAAAATCTGTGTTGTTTCTACTGAACTATGTTGTTAGTTGTTTGATTTTATTTACAAAAATATTGCTTTTCCACTTTTTTGGGGGGAGTACATTCCTGTACATAAAGTAGAGTTAGGTGCCTGAGTTTTTGTTGTTCCATGGAGAAGCTGTTTGATTTCTAAGTCAAAGAATCAAGCTCTCAATATCTAGGACTTTGGAAGGAGGTTTCTCTATTGAATAAGGACAAAGCTTAAATGTACAGAAATAAGGGAATGTTTTAATCAAGTACGTTTCTTCTACTCAATGGAATATGTTGAAAACATTAAATACAATGACTATCAAACTTTACTGGCGAGAGTGTAAATTGTTATACCTCCTTAAGGAGGGCAATTTTAAAATGTATTTCAGAACAACAAAGGAACATGCCTGTGCCCTAACAATTTTAGCTTGAGGAACTTTTCCTACAGAAATATTCAGAGATGTGCAAAATTATTCAGAGCAGCATTCCTTTCCCAGCAAAATGTTGGAAGTAACCTAAGTGACCACCAACAGGGAACAGTTAAATAAGTTATGGTACCTTTTTAGGATGGAATAACATGCAATTATGTAGAAGAGAGAGAAGAAGAAGGAAGACGAGAGGAGGAGAAACAGGAAGAGCAAGAGGCTCTTTATGTATTCACATGGNTTTTTCTTTTAAGGGAGCTACACCCTCTCACCCACGTCATTCCCGGTTTCTTGTCTTCACTCCTGCCTCTCCTGTTGATATCTAAGGTGATGCTATTTAATCCCCAATTGCCTTTTTTCCATTTCCACTGTGCCAAACACTTCCATCGGCTTGAGCCCTACTGAGGTGTGTGGAGGACGTGCTGTTTTCTCATAGGTTAGATCGATGGTTCCCCAAGAATGAGGACCCCTTCTCAAGGCCTACACACCCCAAACACATTCCCTATGGTACTTATAATATCTGTTAATGAGAAAATACATGGAAAGGAAAAGCTACTGTTAATGAAATGTAATGTCTTTCATTGGATTTGCATTTTATTAACTACTACAGTATCTACACTCATTAAAACATTATGAAAATAATAATAGGAACTACTATGTGTCGTGTGCTTATTATATGCCAAGTATTTTGCTAAGTGCTCTATGCACATGATCTATAATTCATCCCACAACCCTATAGGGTAGAAAACTTCTTTATCCCTGTTGTATAGATGAGGAAACAGGCTCAGAGAAGTTAAGCAACTTGCCTCAGCTCACACAGGTGAGAAGTGGTGGCCTGAGAATTCAGTCTGACAGGCATGAAGGATTTAATGCCACTTGATCCTGCCTCTTTTATTTACATATTCTGTGGACATTGTTTGGGATGCCTGTGAATGCTCCAGCCCCTGGCTTAAACTCGCGGCCTCCTAGGAATCTGAGGCCACCAGAAGAGAGGCACAGGCTCTTTGGGAATAAGCACAGGTGCTGAGCACTCAGCCTGGCGTTGACCTTCAACTTGTTCCCCAGCACAGGTCCCTCCTCAACCCAGCCTCATCCTTGTAGCACATCTCAAACCCTTAAGCCAGCGGTTCTCAACCTTCCTCATGCCGCGACCCCTTCATACAGTTCCTCATGTTGTGGTGACCCCCAACCATCAAATTATTTTCTTTGCTACTGTTGTGAATCGTCATGTAGATATCTTTTTGTTTTCCGATGGTCTTAGGCGACCCCCGTGAAAGGGTCGTTCGACCCCCAAAGGGGTCACGCCCCACAGGTTGAGAACCGCTGCCTTAAGCTCTTCTGGGTGCTAGAGGAGGCCGCTGTCTAGTCCCGTTTGTCCTTGTGTTCCCAGAGGCCGGAGGGGTTAACAGTTGAGAACTTGTTTGCAGACCATTAGAAACAATAATCACCTTGCCCAGTAACCTGATCTACCTCCAAAGAAGGGTCTTGATTTTAGCAAACAGTTTAAGTGGCCTCTGTGTAAAGTGGCGGGGTGGAGCAGGCCTGGTTGCATTTCTTCTGGGCAGCTGGAATTTGTGTGGTAATCCAGCCAGGCCTGAGGGCCAATTCCTGGGCCTAGGGGTACTGAGCTCACACCCTCCTGGCTGCTGCTTTCCCTGGAATGCTGAAACCGGCTTCCCCTGTGTGTAGCAATCCGATACAAGCCCCCACAGTGCTGCTTTCTCTACCCAGCCTGGGGGGACCAAGGAACTCTTCAGTTCAATGGACCAAGTACATTCGCTGAGTCTTTACTGTGAGCTCCGAGGCACGGCCTTCTTTCATCCTCACCACTAAGCATGATGGCTGTTATACCTCCCATTTCACAGGTGAGAAAGGTGAGAGTCAGAGACAGCTGTGTGCAGGGACTGGCACTGATGGTAAAACTGCCCGGAATTTGACAAGCTAGTGGTTAATCACACGATTATTAAACATTAAATTATATAAGCTTAAAATTAAATAAATTGTATTAAAAACACAGGTAATAAATACTCCAAATTCATCACTTCCTAATGACGTAACTATATTTCACTAGTGTCTGTGCTTCAGCGGTTATTTACTCCGTCGCGTCTATGCTGTGGTAGGAATACTGTGTGCTGCCTTGCTTGTCGTCCCAACTCTCCATTTTGTGGCGTTATGTTGATAGTTTGAAATCCACTATGGCGGGAATATTTACACCACAGAAATAGACAAATGTACAAATCAGGGCTTGTTCTCCCTCCCCGCCCCCAGAGAGCTGGTTGTTAAACATTTACCAGTACGCCTGTGCTGAGAGGGGTTAACTCACTTGACAAGGTCACAAGGCTGGTGGTGGGGCCAAGTGTGCAGCTGGACTCCAGAGAGCTTGGCCATTGTGCTGCTCTACCTCTTAGAAAATAGCGAAGGTTCTTCAACAAGTTAACTGCAAGGAAATAAAAGAGTTGAAGGAGGGTAAAAGATTAAGAGAGACTTAGAGACATATTACGCAATCATAATATGTACACCTTATTTGGATTCTAATTGCAATAAACTGTAAAAAAAATTATGACATTTATGAGGCATTTGGAAATGTGAGCACTTACTAGATATTTGATTCACTTAATGGATTATCATTTTTTTTTTATTTTTTTTTTAAGATTTTTATTGGGGAATTGGGGGGATGGGAACAGTGCTGGGGAACTGAGGGAAGGGGAACAGACAAGTTGCTGTCATTTTTTTTGTTTTTTTTTGTTCTTCAATCTCGTTGTGGAGGATGTTGCTTCACTGGTCCAAGTTGGCACCATCATTACGCTCTTCCTGGGCGAGGCAGATCAGGCGCCGGCTTCTGGANCAAAAATCTACTTTCATCTCCACCCTTAAATATAATCATCGCAGATCATGTTTCTATAGATTCCTCTAGAATAGGAGTTGGGGGCCACACTGACTTTTTTTGTAAAGGGCAGAATAGTAAATATTTTTGGCTTTGTGGCCATGTGGTCTCCATCACAACTACTCAGCTTTGTCCTTATAGCAGGGAAATAGTCATAGACGATACATAAATGAATGGCATGGCTGTGTTCCAATCACACTTACAAAAACAGGCTGTAGTCCATTTTGGCTGGCTCCTGTTCTAGAACAGTGCTTGCTGTGTAATAGAAATATAATGAGAACCACATATGTAACTTTACATTTTCTCATAGCCATACTAAAAAAAGTTCTGAAAAAAGTGAAATCAATTTCAATAACATGTTTTATTTAACATTATATATCCAAAATATCACTTTAACATGTAATCAAAATAAATAACTATTGAAATATTTTACATTCTTGTATTCACACGGAGTCTTTGAAATTTGCTGTGAATTTGGTCCTTACAGCACATCTCAATTCGGACTGGCCACATTTAAAAGTGTTCAGAAGCCACACGTGGCTCGTGGTTACCACGTTGGACAGCTTAGTTGTAGAATCTAGATGGTCTTTGGATGCATATAATTACATAAATTTTTAAAAACAAAAGTAGTGTAATATACATGTTTTTTTCACTGAATAATCTTTCTTGGAAATCTTCCCTATCTTTCCATAAAGATCAACTCTTTTCTGGACAGTTATAGTATTCTATTGTTTGGACTTATAATAATCTATTTTATCAGTTTCCTATTGGTGGGCATTTGTATTGTTTCTAATTTTGAGTTGTTATTTAAAATAGTTCAGGGGTTGTCCTTTTACATATATGTCTCAGCACCTGTGGGAGTATATATTTAGAATAAATTCTTGGGAGTTGAATTGCTGAGTCAAAGGCTGTGATGACATTTAACTTTTTAGTAACTATTGCTGAGCTGCAGAGCTGGAATTCTATTTTGTTTTTCTTTGTATCTCCAGCATGTTTGCTCTCAACGGATAACTGTTAAATGAGTGCATAGATAAAACTCTCCTACCATTGAGAGAGAGAAATAATATGGAATAAAGTGGGAGCAGTTCACTGCATATTAAGGAGACACAAATTGAAACACCCTGGGTTGGTATAGTGGAAGGTGTTTGTTTGATATTCAGTTAAGCTCCTCTGAGCTCAGCGCAATTCCCATTCCTGTCCCTCTGAGAAAGTCCAGGGCTTGGGTCGCGGGCCGTGGCATTTTCTATTAAACTGGAAAATTATTCTCTACATCTGAAGACCAGTTGTGCCCCAGTGTCCCCTGTGGTGGGCAGGACAGTTTCTAGTTAAGGGTGGGGGGTGGGGAGGTCGGAGGTGATGAAAGATGCTGGTCCTCCCGGGGACATTGGGAAACCCTTGCTCTTCAGGGATCAGGCACGCTCCTAGGATTCTGGAGTCCCACCTTTGGGGTGTCTCTGACACCAAACCAGCTGCCCTTTTGTAATGAGAGGAAGGCCGCACAACCTGTCACCACTGTGCCCGAGGACAAGGAGAGAAG